AATGTTCTTCAGAATCAAGGCTGGCAAGCCATTGTAGTTGCTGCTGGTATGCAGACTCCAGACAGCAAAGGAGTTCTACAAGGCCTGACTTAGGTAAAAGAACTCACAGGCCAGTATCCAGGATAGTGCAGTCCCTGGGAAATGGTTTGGAACAGTTAGATTGCTTAGTAATATCAGAATCAATCAAAATAAATGTCTGGTTAAGTGGCCACCCGGTTCTAATGAAGGTCAATACTGGCACAACTGCATCAGTCAATGCAGAACCAGTCTTTAACAAGATTCGCTGTGGACTCCAACCCTTAAGTTTGTGCAAGATCTCAGCCAGACTGAGAACATTTACCGGGAACTGTTACAGATTTAGGGTACGATTTCAGTTCTGGTCACCTATGAGGAGCTGTTGATGCAGTTCCACTGACTGTAGTAAAAGGCTCAGGTTCAAGCATGATGAGGTGGAATTGGTTGAAAAAGATTCACCTTGATTGTCTCAACATTTCTCAATTGGAAAATGGCTGCCGGAGTGAAGTCCTGATTAAATACCCAGAGGTTTTTCAGGAAGATCTAGGGACCATCAAAGGAGCTAAGACCACCTCACATGCTCACCAGGAACAAATTCCACAATTCTGCAAGGCCTGCTCAGTGTTATTTGCCTTACGTACAAAAGTAGAGGCAGAAATCAGGAGCTGGAAGGCAAACAATCATCAAACCTGTACAGTTTGCGGAATGGGCTGCACCAGTCATACCGACTGAAAAGCGCAACGGGTCAAATTCGCCTTTGTGGAGATTTTTAAGCAAATGGTAAACTCCTTCTTGCAGCTGGATAAATATCCAATCCCACAGATACAGGACATGTATACAAAACTGGCGTGGGGCTGGGGGGTGGAGGGTGGAGGCAGGGAATGATGTCTTTCACGATGCTGGACATGAGCCATGCCTACCTGCAATTGTGACTACATAAGGAGTCCCAGAAGTATGCCATTAGGGTTTATACCAATAAACAAGACTGCCATTTGGGGAATCATCAGCCTGTGCCATTTTCCAGCAGTTGATGGAGAACATTTAACTAGGTCTACCCCAGGTTGCCATTTATCTGGATAAGAACATAGAACAGAACAGTACAGCACAGGAACTGGACCTTCAGCACACGATGTTGTGCTGAACATGATGCCAAATTAAACTAATCCCTCCTGCCTACCCTTGGTCCACATTCCCTCCAATCCGTGTATTTTGATGTGCTTATCTAAAAGTCCCTAAACACCCCTATCGTATCTGCCTCCACAACCAACCCTGGCAGCACATTTCAGATTCCTACCACTCCGTGTAAAAAAAATTTGCCCCTCACACTTCTTTGAACTTTCTTCCTCTCACCTTAAATGTATGCCCCTTAGTTTTAGACATTTTAACTCTGGGAAAATGATTCTGACCATCAATGTTATCTGTGCATCTCATAATTTTACAGACATCTATCAAATCTCACCTCAGCCTCCACTGTTCCAGAGAAAACATGGGGTTTTCTAGCCTCTCCTTATAGTTCATACCCTCTAATCCAGGCAGCATCCTGGTAAGCCTGTTCTGCATCCTCTCCAAAGCCTCCTTATCCTTCCTGTAATGTGGCAACCAGAATTTCTTTATTTATTTATTCATTAACTCGATGAGAATGTCGCTGACTAGGCAGCATTTATTGTCCATCCCTAATTGCCCAGAGGGCAGTTCAGAATCAACCACATTTCTGTGGGTCTGAAGTCACAGGTAGACCAAATCAGGTAAGGATGGCAGTTTCCTTCCCTAAAGGACACAAGTGAACCAGGTGGCTTTTCCTGACAATCGACAATGGATTCATGGTTATCAGTAGATTCTTAATTCCAGATATTTTACTGAATTCAAATTCCATCATCTGCCATGGTGGGATTCAAACCCGGGTCTCCAGAATGTTATCCGGGTCTCTGGATTAACAGTCCAGTGATAACACCACCAGGCCTTTGACTCCCCTTTTTAAAAAGGAACACAATACTCAAGTGTGGCCTAACCAAAGTCTCATAAAGCTGCAATATCACGTCCTGACTCTTGTAGTCAATTCCCCAAACAATACAGGTAAGCATGCCATATGCCTTCTTTACCACCCTATCTATTTGTGTGACAATTTTCAGGGACCTATGGACTGAACCCCAAGATCTCTCTGTACATCAGTGCTGTTCAGGGTCCTGCCATTAATTGCACACTTTTCATTAATATTTGATCTCCCAAAGTGCAGCGCCTCACACTTACCGAATTAAACTCCTTCTGCCATTTATCCGCCCATATGTTCAACAAACCTGTATTCCACTGTATCTTTTGAGAACCTTCTACCCTATCCACAATGCCAATGATCTCTGTATCATCTGCAAACTTACTAACCCACCCATCTGTATTTTCATCCAAATCATTTATATATATCACAAACAGCAGAGATTCCAGTATGGATCCCTGCAGTACACCACTGGTCACAGACCTCCAGCCAGGAAAACACTCTTCCTCTATTACCCTCTGCCTTCTATGGGCAAGCCAATTCTGAATCCACGCAGCAAAGTCACTGTGGATCCCATGCATCTTAAGCTTCTGGATGAGCCTGCTATGAGGGACATTGTCAAAAGCCTGACTAACATCCATGTAGACGACACTCCCCCCTTTACTCTCATCGATCACCTTTGTCACATCCTCGAAAAATTCACTCCAGTTAGTAAGACATGGCCTGTCCCGCACAAAGCCATGCTGACTGTCCCTAATTGAGCCATGCTTTTCCAAATGGGTACAAATCATATCCCTAAGAATTCTCTCCAATAGCTTGCCAACCACTGATGTGAAACTCACCGGTCTATAGCTTCCTGGATTATTCTCATTTCCCTTCTTGAACAGAGGAATGACATTAGCTACTCGCCAGCCCTCTGGGGCCTCTCCAATGGCCCGTGAGGATACAAAGATCTGGATCAAGGCCCCCGTAATCTCCTCTCTTGCGTCTTAATAACCTTGGGAAGATACCATTGGGCCCTGGGACTTATCCACCTTAATGCTCTTCAAGGGAACCGACACCACGTCTTTCTTGATCTCAAAATGCTCTAGCTTATTAGCATACTCCATACTAATCTCACTATCCTCCATATCTTTCTCCTGGGTGAATACTGATGCAAAGTACTCTTTTAGTATCTCACCCATATCCTCTGTCTCCAAGCGCAAGTTTCCACCTTTATCCTTGAGTGGTCCCACCTTTTCCCTAGTTATCCTCTCATTTTTAATCTATGTATGTCATGTGCTAATAATTGGACAATGGGCATTTAGAGAATTTGGACATGGTGCTTAAATGTTTCTCCCAAGCAGGTGTACACCTCAGAAGGGAAAAATGTGTGTTCCAGACACCCCAAGTGACCTACTTGAGCTAAAGCGTTGACAAGACTGGGTTACACCCGTTGGTAAATAAGGTGAGAACGATCAAACGTTCCCTGTCTTTCATATTTGTACTGGAGATTAGGTCTTTCCTTGAGTTGGTGAATTACTATGGAATTCATACATAACTTGGCCTCCATTTTGGTACCTACTGAAAAAGGGTCACCCTTGCAAACTGTCACATTGCCAAGAAACAGGCTTCAGGGAAGTGAAGCAGCAGCTAATGTTGACTAAACTGTTAGCCCACTACCATCCCAAGCGAGGTGTGGTGCTGACATGCCATGCCACCCCGTGTGGTATCGGGTTTATGTGGATTCACCAGTGGCCCAATGGGGAGGACGGGCAAAAGCACATGCTTCCCAGACTTTGGCTGATTCTAAATGCAAGAATGTCCAGATAAAGAAGGAAGGTTTGGCGGTCAACTTTGGTGTGAGAAAGTTCCACCAATACCTTCATAGATGTAAATTTGTAACAGTAACGGACCACAAATCCCTGCTAGTGTGAGTCAAAGAAGACTAGGCTGTGCAGCACATAGCTTCTGGATTGAATTTAGCAGGGGGCCCTTATTCTCAGTGCACACAATTACAAGTTGGAACACTGTCCGGAGGGCCAAGTGGCGAATGTGGGTGCCTTGAGCCACCTCCCACTAGCAGATATGTCATCGGTGACACCTCCCCGGAAGAGTCCGTTCTGGTTTTAATCTTTCTGGACACTTTTCTGATCACCGTGGACAATATCTGCCCTAGCAAAAATAAAACAGCTGCTGGTGATGGAGCAAGAAAAAGTGCTATCTCACCAGAACTGAAACCTTCTGGACCTGGCAAGACCGGATCACTGTACAGGACGGCATATTATGGGGAGCAAGAGTGATTGTCCTGAGAAAAGGTCGCATCCAGGTACTGGCTAAACTCCATCAGGGATATCCGGGGGTTTCCAAAATGAAGATATGGTAAGAAGTGATTAGAATGAGGACCAGGGTGGATGTCATTGAGTATGAGATCCTGATTGGGGTTGTTAACCTGGACCAATCATGGAGCCCTAGCTGACAGATATAAACAGGAGTCTAACCAGTGCTCTCAATTTCATTAGGGAGAGGTGAGCACTGTGGGGGGTGGACAGCTTTATTTCCCCCTCCAATTCTATTTTGATTTAATCCCTACCATTCCCCTTCACTTTCTTCACGTATGCATTGCCCTTATTAGGCTTTGCTTCTTATAGGTTCTTTGGGCACATGGGTGTTTTTCTGGTGATGAGAAATATAGAATAAAGTGGTTTTTTTTTAACTGGGTCATTACACCTACATACACAACCACAGGTGATGCAGAGATAAAATTAGCAGGAAAAAAAAAGACCAAAACAACAGGAGCCTCAGATATTCTTTTCAACACTAGGGACTGGCTCCTAGCTAGCTGGTCAGAGTCCATGTACTATGCACGTGTAAATAAAGGGTAACCTGGTGACAGGATACCAGCCTCTGTGGAGTTATTTCAGTTACATAGCTTAGAGCTCCAGATCGAGGCTTTATATTAACCTCTTTGTGAAGGCAAAGTGAAACCCAAGCTTGGAGGCATCCTTGTATAATAGATCAACAACGCTGAAGAAGTCAGCATTTACAAAATTGTCACTAAGCACAGCAAGAACAGAAACATTCACTGGCTGCTGCACAGCCTGCAGTGTAAGAAATCAGTGAAGATCCACCAAGGAGATGAAGAAGAATAACTATGGAGGTGGAAACAAAGGATGCCCTGGGTGGCTATCATTGAACTGTGCCATCTGCTACAGCAGGACTTAGGTTCAGATAGAATGAGTCTCTATCCTATGTTGGTGACCATCAAGGTTACAAGCAGCTTGTTCCAAGGAGTAACTGGGGACCTGTTTGGCAGCTCCAAATTGTTGGTTCACAAATGCATCTGCATTATCACAGATGCCATTTTCTCCAGATTATGACAGGTTATATCCTTCCTCGATGACAAGGAAAACCAATCAGCCAACATCACTGGCTTCATTCAGCTGCAGGATGTTTTGACTGCATCCACATTGCTTTGAGAGTATCCTCTCACCAACCTGCAGAGTTCATCAACCAAAAAGGCTTCCATTTGATTAATTAAAAGCAAAGTACCTTTAGTCGTTGGAAATCTGGCCTAGAAATGTTAAGTGTTTCTCCAGCACCTTCTGTTTTTATTCAATTTTGTGACTGTCCAGCCCATCTGGGTGCCAGATTTTGGAACTATGCACCAGATATCCTCAGAGCTGCCACGATGTGTATATGCTCGTGAACTCTCAGGATCACATATTCTTCTAAGCTCCTTGGGCTGCTGGGAGACAAGTGCTATCTCCTCCAAATGTAGCTTATGACACCTTTTAGGAAACCCTCAGACTGATGCAGAATAGGAGTACAATGCTGCCCGTGCTTCCACCAGGGCCATAGCGGAACAGATCATAGGCCTCCTTAAGATGACTGTCACCTGGTGTCATGTGATTTTTGACCTCCTTAAGATGAGGTTTCGATATCTAGATCACACTAGTGGGGCTGTGCAGCACAGGGGGTTCTGCCATAACACTATAGTTGGGTTCCTGCACAACATTGCATTATAGAAAATCGTGTCATAGAAATAACAGGGGCCTATGGAAAAAACAGGGTTACAGGCAGACCATCAAAAAGAAATCACTCAAAATCGATCAAAAATCACTCAACAGCCTAACACAAAGGACAGAATAAATGTTTAATCCATATCTAATGAGGAAATAAAAGTAAATTTACACCTTATGTTGAAAAAATGTCAAGATGACTTGATGGGAGAGGAGGTTTTGAGTTGTTCTGTTGTTAATGCAGGGCTGAGGGTCTTCATCATCATCAACATCATCATCATCACCATCACATTCAGTTGTGGTTGCAGGGTTAGGGTGAAAAAATAGTTACCCAGAAGTGGATGGTTATGGTTCATCGTCTTCTGACTGTTTCTTGAGGGTTGGCTTAAAAAAAGCATCCAGTTTTTGCTGCTTTACCCTTTTTCTTTCATGAAGAAGGTGTTCATAGGGTGCCAAATAAGATTTTATTCACAAACTGTTAGCCTGCTGCATTTTGCATTGTAATTGTTGTCCTCTGAGAGCTGCAACTACTGCTTCTGAATTTCCCTCAGGATAGAAGACAAAACAGAAGTGGAAAGTTCTCGTGGTGCTGCATCCTAGACTTCTTCTTCATCTCCAGCTTCCACTTCCCCCTCAGCAACAAGTTGTTGTAGATCAGCTGTAGAGAGGTCTTCACAGTGGGACTTGAGCAGCTCTTCAACATCCTCAGTCTCCACTCCTTCAAATCTACTTGCTTTGCAAGATCAACACAATGTTCTTTGATTCTTGGGAACTCCTCTGATGGATCAAAGGTTTTAAAATCTTGAAGAAGCTTCCGCCAAACTGCTTGTAAGCAGTCCTTACTGACATCACCCCAAGCCTCCATGATACAGGTAGTTTTCCTATAACGTGACAGTTGTGTTCTTGTGTGGCCTCATACTGCAGAACATTGTGTTATAGAAAATTGCTACAGAAAATCATGTTATAGGGAAATCGCTACAGAAAATCTCTATACCTGTACAGCAGAAAGTTCGTGTTATCCAAACACTGTCCACTATTCATCAAGCGCATTACAGCCAATTCATATTAATGAAACACACATTATAGCAGAACTACTTGTAATGTCAATTGCATTCTTGATGTTAAAGCTCTTCCAAAATTGAAGAATACTGTCCTTATCCCCCTCAGTGGCTGCAATCAGTCTCTTAAATGTGCACCTTAAATAATAAGCTTTAAAAGCAGCCTATTGCACCCTGCTCCATGGTGGAAGGAGAGAGGTTGTATTTGAGGGTAGAAATAGCAATTTGATATTTTCAGAAAGCTCACCAATGGTGGGAGGATGGCTTGGTGCATTATCCAGGATGAGGAGAATCTTGAAATCCAATTTTTTTTTCCTGCAATACTTTCTAAAAACATCTTCCAAAACATCAACAATAATGTCACCGATGGAAGCGTGTTATTGCCAACACAAGTTCACAATTTAGAAATAGCGTTCTCCTATTCGTCAGTCGCATTATAGCCAATTCGCATTGCTGGAACACACAGAACCCACGAATAGCCCAGAAACAGTGTCCAACATCATTGTGGCATGCTGTGCTCTTCATAACTGGAGCTGACAAAGTGCAAATGTCATGGATGCAGACAAAATGGGGAACAGCAGCAATCTTTGAGGATGAGGATTAGGCTATTTACTGGGAAATAATATCCAAGAGACTATGATAGAGTATGCATTATTGACTGTGGGGTCAGAGAAACTGAAATGAAATCCACTTCTAGAAGGAACAAGCCCAGTATGGACTTCCTTTCATTGTATTATTTTCTGCTGGTTCAGTGGCAAGCAGCCCCTGACACCTGAATCTAGTTTTCTCTGCACTCGCAACTTTTCTGTTGCTGAATACATGTTTACTCGCCTATATGCATGGATGCATAAATGATCCAGTTTACCAGTTTTCTTCACTGTTTAGGCAAAAGCAGCAGTCAGCGACACAGGGCAGTAACATTGCCTGGTACTTAGATTGGATGGTTTTTAAGGCTTTAATTAGCATATTGGATCCAAATGATGTGCATTACTGTGTCTCATGATAGGCAGCAGATTGGGAGCAATCCTGAGGCATCTCCATTCACCCTTCCTCATCAGTTAGCCTTCCATGTTTCAGAGTTTGTGTAGATTTGTAAATTGTCCTAAAATGCTTGAATATCCTGCAGGAGAGAGATAGCATCTTGTGCAGCTTCTTTCAGCAGCTCACTGCACTATGAGAGAGAGTGGAGGTAACAACTCCCCATTGGACATGTCCTAGACTTCAACGGCAATGCACTCCCCTGAAAGCTGAAACATGGTGTCACTCACAGTGGGTATAAGTGTGCAAGATTGTATACAGGCCAGGCCCTAGCACATACCTTGCGATGCTGGAAAAGTTGAATCTAGAAAGAGTATTCACAGAAGTGAAAGTCTCTGAAACAAAAACAATAATTGCTAGAAAAACTCCACAGGTCTGGAGAGAAAGCAGAGTTAACTTTGGAGGTCCATTGACCCTGGGTGTCTAGAGTGAAAAGACAACTTTTCTTTTGACCACCTAGCCCATGAGCACCCCAAATTCACTGTAGGCAAAGTAAGGAGCTAACTTCCCTTCCTACACCATGACCTCCATGACAGTTGAACAGAACACTGTAAAGAATGGAGAAATGCCTGAAGTGCTGTGGAGCTGACCTTTTAATAAGGTACCAACAATGCGAACATTGCAAAATCCCAGCACAGTCAGCACGTAGCCCACACCTGCTGCAAGATACTTTGAACTAGATGCCACAGACGCCAATTGCTTATTTAATGAGCTGCAGAATGAAACATTCCAAGAGAAATGTCAACTAACTGTCAAGAATCTTACCAGAAAAAAACCTGCCAAAAAATGGGAAAATTCAACCTGTAATTCACCAAATTAAGGGGGTTGCTGAGGAAGTTTTCAAAAACTTACAAGAAAACATTACTGAACTTTAAATTTTAAATGTGTAAATTAATTTCAATACAAATATTACATTTTGGCAAGAACAAAATTGAGACTGTATATTACTTTGAAAATGGGAATCTAAATTAGGTAGAGATGCAAAGGGATCTTAGCATTAGCTATAGTAACAGAAGTTAACAAGATGCGGAAAAAGAAGAAGCTATGCTAAATTTGCATCAAACACTGGGTAGGCCATATCACGAGAATTCTGGTATGAATATGATTCACAAGGATGATGTCAGGAATGGGAGGTCTGCTCATCTAGAAATGAACAATTTGGATCTCTTTTCTCCTGAAAATAGAAGACTGAGGGACCGATCTCAAAGTCTTTAAAATTATGGAAAGTTTTGAAAGAATGGGTGCAAAAAAAAAAAAATTTGTACTGGAAAGCAGAAAACTAGAGGCCACCAAGAAATAGTCCCCAAGAAACGTAGGGGAAATCATAAGAAACTTCATTGCCTAATAACTGCATGAATATGGAAATTGCTGCCACAGAGAATGGTTGAGGTGAACTATATTGATGCATTTAATGGGACACTGACAAGCACATGTGGGAGAAGGGAACGTAGAGATGATAAGGTTTAATTGGGAAAGATGAGGAGACTGAAGTGGAGCATAAACACCAGCACTTCCTGGTTGGGCTTAATGTCTGTTCTGAGTTTTTTTTATTCTGTGTGGTCAGGAAATCGGAACTCAAATTGGCAACCTAATAATAATGCAATATCTCCATCGTCCTAGCAGTGAGAAATGGTGGTGGCTTAACCTGAGGGTCACCATGCCTCAGATGACGGGAGAGGGCAACTCTTTCACGGTAAACTCAGCCAGTGCGGGAACTGAACCCATGCTGGTGACATCACAAACAGTCTGTCCAGCCTACTGAGCTAATCAAGCAATCTTGTAGTCTGGTATTTACTTCAGGTTAAAGAACCATTGATAACCTTGAATAATAAATGAACATGTTAACTGACAAAATCTGAAGCCTGAAACTATAGCTGAAAATATTTCCAATGGGTGATATTTTGTTTCCAAAGTGTTTATCCCTCACTCATGAAGCAATAAATAGTTTCAAAGTTAACAGTATATCATTTATTTTTAATCCATACTTACATTTTTGGATTGTCAACCAAAAAGCCCATTGGTGGTCCCACTTTCTTAAGACATGCCAAAAGCTGACCAGCAACTTCATAATTTCTGTGACTAAAAACCATCAGCCAGTCTTGGAGTGGCTGACTGCCAATAATCCTTGATTTTCGAGTATCTCTAGACCAGTCTACTGGTGACACTGGCTGACACTGCAAATGGGGAACAGAAAGGACAAATTGTTTATATTAAATGGCTATTGCCTTTTATTAAAGTGACACGGAATATGCAGCCCATAGACAGCCATTTGGTCCAACCAATTCATGTAAGTATTTATGTTCCATTTGAGCCTCACCTCATTCTTCTTTACCTAAGAAGCATTAATGTCAATTCCAAGCACTCCTGTACGTTTACTTAGTTTTTCATTAAAAGCACCATTTACTGAAGCTCATCAAGTTATGTGCTCTTGAAAGTTATGATTAAGTGAAACAATTTTAGGTGAGTCAGGTGTTCCAAGAGGAATTAATGTTGATACTAGAACATAGAACATAGAACATAAAATAGTACAGCACAGTACAGGCCCTTCGGCCTACGATGTTGTGCCGACCTATTATTCCACTCTAAGATCAAACAACCCTGCATAACCTACATTTCACTATCATCCAAAAGTCGCTTAAATGTCCCTAATGTATCTGCCTCCTCTACCATTGCCGGCAGCGCATTCCACGTACCCACCACTCTCTGTGTAAAGAACCAACCTCTGAAATCTCCATTCTACTTTCCTCCAATCACCTTAAAATTATGACCGGTCGTAATAGGCATTTCCGCCCTGGGAAAAAGTCCCTGGCTATCCACTCTATCTATTGAGGTTGGTTGGTTCGCCGAGCTGGTTTGTTGTTCCGCAGACGTTTCGTTACCGTGCTTGGTAACATCCTCAGTGCAGCCTCTGATGAAGCGTCGGTGTGTTTTCCCACCTGGTTTTTAAACTCTGGCGTCCGTTGCGATGGATTGCCTCACTTCCGGGTTTCCTCTGTAGTGGAATGTATATGGGGTCGAGTTCAATGTGTTTATTAATAGCATGCTTCGTGGAGTGCCATGCTTCCAGGAATTCTTGTGCTTGTCTCTGCCTAGCCTGTCCCAGGATCTTGGTGTTGTCCCAGTCGAAGTGGTGGTTCTCCTTGTCCATGTGGATTGAGATGAGTGAGTATTGGTCGTGTCTTTTTGTAGCCAGTTGGTGTTCATGTACTCTTGTTGTTAGCTTCCTTCCTGTTTGTCCGATGTAGTGTTTCTCGCAGTCTCTGCAGGGGATCTTGTCAGTGACATTGGTCCTGTCCATGGCAGGGAGTGGGTCTTTAGTTCGGGTGCGCACTTGTTGTAGGGTTGATGTGGACTTGTGTGCCACTCTGATGCCTAGCGGTCGTAGGAGTCTTGTGGTGAGTTCTGACGTGTTCCTGATGTAGGGTAGTGTGATGAGTGTGTCGGGGCGTGTAGAATCTTTCTGATGCTGTTCCTGTAGGCATCTCCTGACCCAGTTCTTTGGATATCCATTATCCTTGAACACTTGGAAGAGGTATTCCTCCTCCTTTTGGCGTAGTTCCATGTTGCTGCAGTGTGTTGTTAAATAGTGTTCGCACGCAGCTTTGTTTGTGTGTGCTGGGATGGTTACTATTGAAGTTCAATACCTGGTCTGTGTGTGTGGCTTTTCGGTGTACTTTCGTTTGCAGTTCCCCATTTGTCTTGCGCTTTACCATGATGTCCAGGAATGGAAGTTGTTTGTTCTTCTCCTCCTCTCTGGTGAATTTTATTCCGGTGAGGGTGTTGTTTATGAGTTCGTGTCTCACTTCTCATTTGGTCAGTTTAATGATGACAAAGGTGTTGTCTACGTAGTGTATCCATAGTTTACGTTGGATTTGCGGAAGGGCAGTCCTTTCCAGTCTTCTAGAACTACAACTACAGGGACGCCAACAAAACGGAATTGCTAGCTACACTGGAAGCCACACTCAAGACCAATAATATCAATGAAGAAACATAACAAACTATAAGACAGACAGTAGTCCCGACACTAACCAGAAAGAGGGAACTCAACACCCTCAACACATGGGAAAGACAAGCCCTGGACAGATTAAAGAAGGATAAGAACATCACTATACTACCTGCAGACAAAGGGCGCATGACAGTGATAATGAATAAAAAGGACTACATCTCCAAAGCACAAGCACTGCTCGCCGATGAGAACACATACCAACCAGTACAAACTGACCCGACACCACAACTACGCAACAAAATCCTATACACGCTACAAAGACTTAAACAAACAGGACAGATCAACAAAACAGACTTCTTAAGAATGAAACCCAAAGGAACCAACACACCGCGATTCTACGGCCTCCCTAAAGTGCACAAGCCGGAAGTCCCCCTCAGACACATAGTCTCCCTACTAGGATTAGCCAGAGAACTACAAAGAAGACTCAAGCACCTGGTCAACAAATCACCCCACTCCATCCATTCAGCCCAAGAATTCCTCAACTCGATCAAAGACATAAATATAGAGGACGAAGAGACCATGATATCGTTTGATGTCACTGCCCTATTCACATCAATAGACATACCACTAGCAAGGGAAACAATGACAACACTACTTAAACAAGAACCCGACCCCAGTGAAACCATCTCCAAGGACAACATGCTTAAACTACTGGACCGATGCCTGACCACCCACTTCACCTTCAACAGCCAAACATACGAGCAAATCAACAGGACACCCTTGGGATCGCCTCTCCCTAGACTCCTCATAGCAGAAGCCGCGATGCAAAGACTGGAAAGGACTGCCCTTCCGCAAATCCAACGTAAACTATGGATACACTACGTAGACAACACCTTTGTCATCATTACACTGACCAAATGAGAAGTGAGACACGAACTCATAAACAACACCCTCACCGGAATAAAATTCACCAGAGAGGAGGAGAAGAACAAACAACTTCCATTCCTGGACATCATGGTAAAGCGCAAGACAAATGGGGAACTGCAAACGAAAGTACACCGAAAAGCCACACACACAGACCAGGTATTGAACTTCAATAGTAACCATCCCAGCACACACAAACAAAGCTGCGTGCGAACACTATTTAACAACACACTGCAGCAACATGGAACTACGCCAAAAGGAGGAGGAATACCTCTTCCAAGTGTTCAAGGATAATGGATATCCAAAGAACTGGGTCAGGAGATGCCTACAGGAACAGCATCAGAAAGATTCTACACGCCCCGACACACTCATCACACTACCCTACATCAGGAACACGTCAGAACTCACCACAAGACTCCTACGACCGCTAGGCATCAGAGTGGCACACAAGTCCACATCAACCCTACAACAAGTGTGCACCCGAACTAAAGACCCACTCCCTGCCATGGACAGGACCAATGTCACTGACAAGATCCCCTGCAGAGACTGCGAGAAACACTACATCGGACAAACAGGAAGGAAGCTAACAACAAGAGTACATGAACACCAACTGGCTACAAAAAGACACGACCAATACTCACTCATCTCAATCCACATGGACAAGGAGAACCACCACTTCGACTGGGACAACACCAAGATCCTGGGACAGGCTAGGCAGAGACAAGCACAAGAATTCCTGGAAGCATGGCACTCCACAAAGCATGCTATTAATAAACACATTGAACTCAACCCCATATACATTCCGCTACAGAAGAAACCTGGAAGTGAGGCAATACATCGCAACGGACGCCAGAGTTTAAAAACGAGGCCGGAAAACACATTGACGCTTCATCAGAGGCTGCACTGAGGATGTTACCAAGCACGGTAACGAAACGTCTGCGGAACAACAAACCAGCTCGGCGAGCCAACCAACCTCAACACCCACAACCCGAGCTACAGATCTACTCCAAAACCTTAGACACTCTATCTATGCCTCTCAGAATCTTGTATACCTCTATCAAGTCACCTCTCGCCCTTCTTCACTCCAATGAGAAAAGCCCTAGCTCCCTCAACCTTTCCTCATTAAGACCTGCCCTCCAGTTCAGGCGGCACCCTGGTAAATCTCCTCTGCACCCTCTCTAAAGCTTCCACATTCTTCCTATAATGCGGTGACCAGAACTGAACGCAATATTCCAAATGCGGTCCAACCAGGGTTTTACGGAGCTGCTGCATAACCTCGCGGCTCTTAAACTCAATTCCCCTGCCAATGAAAGCCAACACCATATGTCTTCTTAACAACACTATCAACTTGCGTAGCAACTTTGAGGGATCTATGGACGTGGACCTCAAGATCCCACTGTTCTTCCACACTGCCAAGAATCCTGCCGTTAACCCTGTATTCTGCATTCAAATTCAACCTTCCAAAATGAATCACATAGGGAGGGTGATGGCCTAGTTGGTATTATCGCTGGACTGTTAATCCAGAGATAATGTTCTGGGGACATGGGTTCGAATTCCACCATGGCAGATGGTGGAATTTGAATTCAATAAATATCTGGAAATAACAGTCTAATGATGACCATGAATTCATTGTCGATTGTCGGGAAAACCCATCTGGATCACTGATGTCCTTTAGGGAAGGAAACTGCCATCCTTACCTGGTCTGGCCTACATGTGAATCAAGACCCACAGCAATGTGGTTGATTCTTAACTGCCCTCTGGGCAATTAGGGATGGGCAATAAATGCTGCCCAGCCAGCAACGTCCTAATTCTGTGAATGAATAAAGGAAAAAATAAATAAATAAAGAAAACTCCACACTTCTCTGGGTTGAATTCCATCCACCAGATCTGCATCCTGTCAATGTCCCGTTGCAAACTACAACGGCCCTCCACACAATCCACAACTCCACCAACCTTCGTGTCATCGGCGAACTTACTAACCCCCCTTCCACTTCCTCATCCAAGTCAGTTATAAAGATCACAAAGAGCAGAGGTCCCAGAACAGATCCCTGCGGAACACCACTGGTCACAGAGCTCTAGACTGAATATTTTCCATCTACTACCACTCTCTGTCTTCTATTAGACAGCCAATTCTGTATCGAGACAGCCAAATTTACCTGAATCCCATGCCTCCTTACTTTCTGAATGAGCCTACCATGTGGAACCTTATCAAATGCTTTGCTAAAATCCACCTACACCACAACCACTGCTCTATCTTCATCAATGTGTTTTGTCACATCCTCAAAGAATTCAATAAGGCTTGTG